TTACTACAACTCCAGAATCAGATTTCACTAAAAGCTTACAATCAAATCTAAATCTAAAATTGACCCATATTTATTGAGAGATTTGGCATACACTGTTACGTACTGTCATACATTATCTTGTTAATATCACACATTATCTATTAATCTTCGTAAGAGATATTAACTCCATGACAATGAAAAGAATGAATGTTTCCTGAGAATTTACTTCAACATCCATCCTCTCCCAGGACTTTAAATAAATCATATGTTCACTAAGCAAGACACCTTTGCTGAGAGAATATCAGACCATGTACTCAACTTTCCACTTGCCATTACCTCCAAGGCATCTCAACTAAACAAGTCTGAAACTACTGGATATCCTCCCGACTCCTCAGAACTGTTCCTTCTCTATTCTTGCACATCTCACAAATGGAACCTCCAACCAAGATTTGCATAAGCAAGTCATTGTTCATGCTTCCTACAACACTCCACCCATCCAATCCACCCCTTCTTCCTGTTCAAGCATTATAACATTCGTCTCCATCCCCACTGCCATCTTAACTAATCACCTAATTTGTACACCTTTCAACTAGCCTCTGTACAGCAACTGTCACAAGAATGTCACTGTACTAATTTTAAATCTTTCTGGAGCTTCCTTTCAAATTTTAAAAATAAAAATCTAAAATTCTCAAATGGCATACAAGGATCTGGATCCTGGTCCCTCTCAGCATCATCTTGGGTTCTTCTTCCACAGGCTATAACACATTTACTATAGTATAGAGCTCTGGGCATACATATTTCAGTTCCTAAAGCTCTTCCCCATATAAGGACTTGTCTCTTCATAACATATTCCACACTACCCCCACCCCCACACCTCTGCCTTTACCTAACTTTTCTTATAGTTCAGATTTCTGCTAAAATATTTTTAAAGGCTTCCTTTATCCTCTACTATAAATTAAATCAGTTTTTCTCTCCTAAAACCTTGTGCTTTCTTCTCATGTAATTATCAAAAGTATTAACTATATTAATTTGATGATTTCTGTTTAACATTTATCTTCCACACTGTAAGTTCTTCAGCACCAGAGAAATATGTTTTGTTCTTCATTGTGAAAATAGCACCTAGTACAGAGCATGGCACACAAAAAGGCACTGAATAAATGGTTATGGAGTAGTAACAGTCCTTTCTCAGGAACTTTAACTTACTGGTTATTGGAAAACCACAAATAATTTCTGCAAATGAGATATACTTAAACCCATGATTTTCTTACTGATTTGTCTCGCAAAATCAAATGTCCTTTATTCCCTTCCTGTAAAGTTAACAATGAAAACTGATTAACACTTAAACCTAAACTTGCTCACCTTAATCCAAGCCATTAACTGAGAAAGCCACTACACTTTTACAGAACTCTGTAGTAAATTTCACCCTCCAATTACTGACAGTGCCACCAAATCCCCATGTCCAGATCAGAAAGTCTTACCCGCCCAAACATACTCAAAGTATCATTCCTATCTAACCCCCATAACTTCATGATTAAATTATCTCAACAAATTATGGAGAGTGTCCCAGTCTCTACACTAACCAGTTATGTCAACTTCGAACCAAAACATTTAGAAAAAACTGTCCCCTACTTAGGAACCAACTTCTTCCCATTAACAATGGATATTAAATTCCTCTAACTAGCACTGAAGGCCTATGGAGGCATGTGATCAAAAAGCCAGTGCTATGAACTTGGAAGATTACACTGACCTGTCCAAGTATGTGCCTGACAATTTGACACTGTTTCAAGTTAAAATTTCTGTGTGTGTCTATCTCATTTCTATAATCCAAAGCTGAATTTGGTTAGTATGCACTCCTGAAACTAAACTTTTTGAGAAAATCCATGAAAATACCCCATTATAAAATATCAGCCCTCTAAACTTTGAGCAGGAACTAAAAAGGTACAAGTTGTCAACATTTTCAAACATATATATATGTACTTAACTAAAAAGACATTATGATATAAAGCATATAACATTTCAGAGAAAACTACTCCAGCAGTTTAGGTGTAACATACCACATAAGTATATGTAATCCTGGAAACCTGTTTATATTTTTAAAATTAAATATGCATAATATATAAATACGTATGTGCATATATATGCATATGTATATATATACACATACATAGTTTATCCTCATTATTTGGGGATTCCATATTTGAAAAGTCACCTACTTGCCAAAATTTACTTGTTTCCCCAAAATCAGGATAAATCCCCCAAATCAATACAATAGCACTTTCATAGTTATCTGCACACATGCTCATTTTTGTGCTTTTTATTGCTGACTTTAAGTGACTCCCAAGCATCGTGTCAAAGTGCTGTCTAATGTTCCTAAGCACAAGAAGACCATGGTGCCCCTCACAGAGAACATAGGTGTATCAGCCAAGCTTCATTTAGGCATAAATTGCAGTGCTGTTGGCCATGAGTCCAATGTTAATCAGTCAACAATATATACTGAACAAGGTGTCTTTAAACGGAAACACACACAGAACAACGCTATGTATTGACTGGTTGTGAACAGAGGCTTGCAGTACCCTAACCCTGTATTTCCCCTAAGAGGAATGGTTCAGTATTTGCTAATTTGCTGTTTATGGTGACTTTACAGAACATAATGAATAAAGAGAGTGCGCACATGTGTGTGCGGGGGAATTTATGAAGCCTCGAAGACACCGCAGAGGTCATTCTGAGCCATCCACCTGTGTTTGCAGTGGAGTAGCAAAAACACCTCAGGGCACACCATCTCCAGGGTCTTGGCCCCTGCTTAAACACTAACATAAAACAAAAAATAGAAAATCTACCAAGCCTGTTTTTTGGTCTTTGCTTTTACCCCTTCTTCCACTTAATAGTATAGCTCTCCCCAATTCAGGTAGTCTAAACTCTAATGCCTTTTCAGAAGCACTTGCCCTAATTTTATAATCAAGCAAATGCATCTAACAATTATTGATCATTCTTGAATGTGAACCGGACTTGTGCTTAAACATCTTGCCGAAATTGTGGCATTACTCATTTGGAAAGAAGAGAGAATATTAAGTATCTGAAGTAGGAATAAATTATCAGAATCAAAAAGTAAACTAAATATAGACAACTACAGTTGTGTATGTGCTGAAGAGAGAAGACATACACAAGGGAAGAAAGCCTAGGCCTCAGCCTCCCCTCCAGGGCAAAGCAAAGCCTAGTCCCAGAGGCTGGGGTGTTGGGTGGCAAAGTTCCGTCTTCCAAAAAGGGTTCCTTCAACCCTTGCTTCCTCCAAGCACTTGATTACAGATTTTTCCAAGAGAATGGACAAATCAGTGGAACATCAGTGCTTTAATTTATTTTATTTTTTTAAGCAATTGAGCCAACAATTTCCTTTTGAAATTTTTCATTTTTAATTTCATTTTCCTAAATTACTTATTTTATTGAAAGTGACTTACTTAGGTTAACAATAGAATGTTTACAGCAGTGATAGAAGCTACAAACACAAAGTCTAGTTTGATGAAATGTCAGTGTTTTCTTTCTAGTAAATAAAAGACCCATCTGTAACTTAGTGAAATGAAGTTGGTGCAATACTACTCAAGCCACACTTCAATTAGTTAATACAGTTCAAAGACAGAATTGTGTAGCATGTGTGGTCATTGAGTTGTAGGTTTTAAGAAGACGACAGCTGTCTAAACCAACACTTGAAATTCACACACAATAAAGGCCTAGGAAATTTTACAGCCTAGTAAATCTTTCTATGATGACCAATCACCATATACATTCCTTCTGTTGAGCAGCTAAGGATGCTTCCTTCCTCGGACCTCTCCAAGGTTCAGCTGGGCTCATTTAATAGGGGCGAAGTTTTACAAAACAATGACATACACCTCTAAATAATTCAACATTTCTTTCCCTTTAGAATACTTCATAGACAAAAACCTTCAGATTCTTCTCTTGCACTAATGTGCTATGGCATTTCAAAAAAACAAAAGTGGAATCTCAGCCTACTGTCCTCAAACCACATCATCTTTCAGAGAACCAAAACTATTCTTCAAATTTCTTCTCCCTTAACCTTGGAGCTTAGAAGGGCTGTTAATCAACCAATTATTTCTTAAGAATTTTTAAAAGTATTCTGTAATATCATTTTCCAATTAAAAACTCAAAAGTCAATGAACCATATAATAAACAAGAGAAAGTATTTTGTACTAGGCAATTATGCAAATACAAAACTACGAGAAAGATTTTTTCTTTTTAAAATGGAGTCAACTTTTTTGTAAGCAGACCTGAAACTGCTGATAAAACCTAGTAAAAATACTAAAGGAAGGAACACAAAACTTCCCAAGTTAAAAGTGTACTTGTTTTCATACCACCACTTAAAAGTACTACCAAAGGGACAAACTGAAAGAGAATGAATAGGACAGATTCTAAATAACAAAAGATAAAAGGATTTCAAGTTTACCTGCTCGCCCAAAGCCACTTACTAACTGAATATGAGGCAAATTATCACCTCCCACCCGCACACACACAGAAATACATTGTTTCTCAACTGATGACAGAGCAGGCGCAAAACCAGGTTCAATACCAGAGGCTGCAGGGTCCTGTGCCCTGCAGCGCGGCTGGAGACTCAGATGGAGAGGCCAACGCAAGACACCCGCCTGAGCACAGCTGGCAGAGCAGAGCCTCAATCCTGCTCGATCTGACCCTCTAATGAGTCACTGGCCCAAGTATAACCCACATCACTCGCTAGGACGTTTTCTATTTATTTCCTTGCGTCAAGAACAACTGAAAATGACTTAAACTCATATTAAGAGAGCTATGCACTGGTCAGAGCAGCCAGCGGAGAGAAGAGCTGGCTTAAGAGCGAATTCCCGAGTTACTCTTAAAAGCCCCCGCTTGCCCAACAGGGGATGCAGAGAGGAACAGTAAACCGAGAGGGCGACCAAAGAAGCGGACGAGACCGGGAGAAGCCACCGCCACACCCCAGCCCTACCTCACCTGCCTACCCCAACCTCCCCAGGAGCCTGTACCTTCGGCCACCGACTCCTCCAGGGTGACTTGGTAGCGGCCGACTGAGAACACCCGGACTCCCACAGACGAGCTACCGGAGCCAGAGCCGGCCCCGACCCCGACGGCTCCGCTACCCGCCGCTCCTCCGCCGCCGCCGCCCTCCGACTTGGGCATTCGAGAGAACTTCTTCATGGTCCCGCCGGCGCGCTGGAGGGCGCGGGGCGTGCGCAAGGGCGAGCGAGAAGGCGAGTCCGCAGCCCGGAATGGCCGGTCGTCCGCGAGGGGTCGCCGCCCCTCGCCCGTCCGAGCGTCCAAGAGTGCCGCGGGCCGCCCAGCCTTACATTCCGCGCTCCCAGATCTCAGCGCCCCGGCCCCGCCGCCCGCTCCGCGGCTCCGCTGCAGCTGCCTGGTTCCCGCAGAGGGCGGTGGGGAGGGCGGGGACGGGGCGGGGCGTTAGGGGGCGGACCCGAGCGCGGGGGCGACGCCGAAGCCTCGCGGAGTGCCCCGGGTGCCCCCGCCTCTCCGAGCACCCAGAGCAGAACCCGGGAGGAGGGAGCGAGATGGGGAAGGGGGCGGGGCGGCCGACCCCTGCAGAGAGTGGGCTGGGCTTCCCCAGACGCACACCGTCCGGACCGCAGCCCGCGGCGCCGCCCGAGCTGGACCCACGCCGCCCGCCACTCGGGGCCGTTGGCGGCGCCGCGCCGCTGCCAACCGCCTTAGGAGGCCGGGCGCCTCGCGCACGCGCGCTACCCGCGCCGCCGGAAGTGACGGTTCCCGCTCTTGTCACGTGGAGGGGGGGAACGAGGGAGGTGATTGTGGGCGTTGAGGATGAGAGCGAGGCGTGGGGTCTCGGGTCTGGGGTCCCGACTGGTAGGCAGGCGAGACCTGTGGAACCACGGCTTCCAGCAAGATACTGGCCCGGGAACCGGTTCCCGCGCTCCCGGCGGGGCGGGGTCTGCTATCTCCGCTAGGAGTTTGTAAGTCACACTGGGAACTAAAAAATGCCGCCAACAACTTTACCCCCGCTGAGGAACTTAGCTGCATCTCTAAGCCAGTTTTCCAGATCTCCCTTGAGAATCGTCTTCCGCTCGCCCACCCAGAGCGTGGGAGATGGAAGCAGCGCGAAACTAGAGCGGATTCCCGTAACCGACTTCTAAAGCCAGTGTCGCATTCTGTAGCAGACGCTTGTGCTGGGAAGCGTCTTGCGGTTTGTAAAATAGGTGTACTTTCAAAGACTCCTGTGTGCTGTGCAACAGCCGTGTGAGAGGTTCACAACAGGTATAAAGACCGTTTACATACCATCACCTTTGGCCGAGAGAGCTTAACGGACTCACCCAAGGTCACACAGAGGGTTTGTGGCAGAGCTGGAGCTACAAGGTCCATACTTCCACACTTAGATCCATCCTTTTGGCCATTCTGGAGAAGCAGGTTTGGGTCAGATCATTGCAAGCGGAAATTTTAGGACCATTTGGAAACGAACCAGCATTGGGTGCTTCCGCTCCCCACCTCTTTAACAAAGAGATTTGTCTGTCAAAAAAAAAAAAAAAAAGTCCCGTTGCCTCCATCTCATAAACTGCGGGCATCTCAGTGCCTGTGAGGTGAAGCAGGCTAACCGGACAAGGGAGTAAGGGCGGGATGAGGAATAGCAAGTTGTAGGGCCCGTGTAAAGAGAGCAACTGATTCTCAGCTCCCGCCTGCTTTTCCCCCTTGTGAATACAGGACCACTGAGGCCAGAGGTTCCAGTTTCTTGAGAAGTCAGAAATCTGGATGATTTTAAGAAATCGGTGTTTGCCAAATTTTAAAAACGTAGCCCAAACAAGTTGTGCCTGTAGGACTGCCGCGTGCACCTTCTATGAAATGTCCAACCCCATTTCTTTATCCAACTTTTTAATGAGATAAAGGCCGAAAACGTTAGAAAATGTGCTTAGGCAAAAGACTTCAAGCTTAAAAGTCTCGCATTCTTTCCTCCCCTTTGCTATCTGAAGAGCATCTATTTCTTCCAACGCCACCGCAGTGCTCTGGGTTTAGGCATTTTTGCTGTACAACTTACTAAGCTAAATTTCTTCATGAGCAGACCTGACCTTTAAAGTACATTCCTGCTCAAAGAAGTCAGATTATACTATGTCAGATGATTGACATGATGTGACAATTGGGGACTGCCACTTAGAAATAAAATGGCTTTTTTTTTTTTTTTTTTTTTGACTGAGAGGATTCCCTGTGGAGTCTCATTCCTACATTTGAATTACATTTTTCAAGCAGACCAAGGAGCTATTTAGCCATATCATACAACTCAAAGCCGGAATCAGTCCAGCGTAGAGTTTGGGCCTAATACAACTTCACCATATCACAAGACTAAATAGTTTCTTATGATCAGTTTGGGAGCCAATTTACTACAACTGCTGTAGTAAGGAAAATCACTTGTATGTAATCATAGAATCTGACATAGAAGTTGATAATTAGTTTAAGGCATAGACCCCCGTCTCCAAAACTATGGGTGACATCAAGCTTTGTGTTCTTTACTTTTTCACCAAGCATGTAATAAAATTTGAATAGCCTCTGATCTTCACAGAATGTTTTCTGCAGAAAATTCCATGACAGATAATAACAACCAATAAGAAGAATGCCAAAGCATTTACAAAACATTACTACTACCAAAAGTTATTGCTATCTCCTGTCAGATTGTGTCCTTCCAGCAACTTCATGAGTTAAGAATGAACATTTTTAAACCAATATGTAGCTAGAAATTGAGGTACTAAGGGCAGACTGTTAAGTAGTAGAAAAATCATATTGAGAATTATAGTAGTTTAGTTTTGCACTCATTGTTAGACCATGGTTATGAAAGAGTACCCAATCTGGCTTTGGGAAATAAAATCTCTGGAAAATATATGCATGGATAATATTAATTCTGACCATCTTAAAAACCGGCATTGAGGTGACCTACAATAAGAACCCAAATATAGGATCGTCTAAGAAAGATAAATAAAAATTACATTTCAACTTTCAAATGTTTGTAGCTGTACTATTGCTATAAAAAATAGTTGGGAACTAGCCACATAATGAACTTTTTTTAAAACACATTGCTTCACTTTGCAAGGGTTCATGTTACAGTATTCTGATAAAGTCAACACTTCATTGTAGCTAACTAAAGATTTCTGATATCCTAAAACAAGGAGTTTGACAATGGGGGAAGGAAGATTATTATATTTTATCTTCTACCGGAAAACTGTAACCCTTTTTGTTACTCTGACCCTCACCTATTTGGCATTGAAGTGGCTGTCAAAGACACACGTAAAGTGAGAGTGACTAAGGTGAATCAAATAAAATACGTTTATCCCAGAAAGCTTCATCCAGTGCCATAATTATCTTTATAAGGCATCGCTTACGATGCCTGATGAATCATTTTTCCTCACAAGTCAATGTTTTCCTTTGATGATATACCTTCTATCATTATTAGCCTCATGATGTCTTACTATTAGGAATATTATTTTCCTTGCCTAACATTATTGCTTTATACCTAGTCAAATGCCCAAATCTTTGCTTTCCTAGAAAGCAAAAGTCTTACAGTCCATTAATGAAAGAATATGTCTCCATTATTAAAGGAAGTGGCTCTTTATATCACTGATATCCTCTAAACTACTCCACATCACATCACTATACATTATAAATTTTATATACTAAGAAAAGTCAGTCTCATAGTGTAGTTTAAAATACCAAGCTGCTGCCCTAACTGGTGTGGCTCAGCTGGTTGGGCACCCTCCCACAAAGTGAAAGGTCACCAGTTCAATCTCCCATCAGGGCGCATACCTGGGTTGCGGGTTCGGTGCCCTGTCCAGGCATGTATGAGAGGCAACAGATTGATGTCTCTCTCTGACATTGATGTTCCTCTCCCTCTCTTTCTCCTTCCCTTCCCCTCTCTCTAAAAATAAATAAAAAATAAAATACCAAGCTGCCCACAAGTACTCTTAATAGGAAAAATAACTCATTTGACATGAAGTGATTTTTTTGTGATACAATTTTTCCTACAACTTGACCATACTTAACAAAAATGACTTCTAGAGGTAGGCGGCTTCACCACCAAGAAAGACATACTGATCCTTCACCCAGGCAAGTAGGTTCCATCAGGTACACAAAACCTCAGCCTCACACCTCATGGCAGGGGTAGTTTTCTCCCTGACGAAGCTATTTGGCCTAAATTGGGTATGACAGTCACATTTCTGGATATCTTCCTAACATTCCTCTTCTTAATAGCCTTTGCATTTCCTTCCAATGGCCAACTACTATCCTGCTCCCAGTTACATTTATATAAAACTTTAGCAGAGTGTAAAATAAGAATTAATTTTGATTAAGCACTTGTGATATAATAGTGCTATTCTAAAGTACATTACATGTATTAACTCAGTAAATCTTTATGGCAATGCTATTAGATAGCATTTACATTATTATTCCTACTTTGCAGATGAGAGAATACTGATGCAGAGAGAAATTAGATTATGTGCCCAAGGTCTTAGGACTTTCACAAGGTTCAAACCCAGGTAGTATGGCTTATAGCTCATGCTCTTAACCGCTATACCATGCAGACTTCCCTTGAAAACATGCAATAAATGATATGATAGTTACTATCTGAGGTAGTAGGGTCCCCTCCTATGCCCTCTGGCCACATCATTTAACCTAATATGAGTGTGCTGCAAGAGTTCAAGGAACCCTACTATATAATAAGATTATCTTTATATTCTGATTATCCAGGTGTGTCTGTTCTTTTTACTTAGCAAATACTTGCTGAATATCTATACTGGATTGGGGTGTCCAACCTGCTGCCGCCAGGCCGCATGTGGCCCAGGATGGCTATGAATGTGGCCCAACACAAAATAGTAAATTTACTTAAAACCTGTTTTTCCTCATCAGTTTTCATTGGTGTTTGTGTATTTAATGTGTGGCCCAGAGATGCCAAAAAGTTGGACACCCCTGGTAGATATTCTGTGACTTGAGGTGGTAACTAGGGAAGGCAAAGTTGAATAAGACAAGTCAAGGTTTCAGAGTTTATACTCTTTTGACAGGAGATACAACTGTGTACACAACCACATAAAAAAGACAGAGAGAGCACTGGGAGTGGAGGTAGAGTTAACTGTAAGCTCAGTACAGAAAAGATTATGCTATTATGGTGTGTTGCCTTCAAATCCTGGCAGCATCATTGATGTTATGACCTTAAACTTCTGAGGACAGAAAAACCGCTCTTCTGGATTTGGAAGCAGGTTAGCAGTTCCCATGGAAAAATCTTGAATTCTATCTCAATGTGTTGAACCCTACACTTTCACAACATTCACATACACACATGCCAAACACTATTGAAGTTACTGTAGAGGAACAAAGAGAGGGAAAGGATTGAAGCTAAATTCAGCTTTCATTTCAACTAT